CTTTTCAACATATAGTTGTTTCATCATCAAAGTTGGCTTAGATTGGATTCTTTTTACCCTTGTTATTTTTTCATTTATTTTTGTTATATATTTTTTAATTACATTATATAAATTACCAATTAAACTAATGATTCAGTCTTAAATTTTTCTCCAGAGGAATATTTTATGTTGAAAACATTTTTACCCGGGGCCACAAATCTAGCGGACCATTAAATTGAGGATGAGGGTGGCGGTGCATTAAAATGAGAAAGTAGTATTTATATACACGTGGAGCACAGAGGGATGATGAGTACAGCTTCGATCCAGCTGTTTCAACACTTGCTTGACTTGATACCTTGGTAGTCGTATTGGACACGTCTAAGCTTAGGGCGGTTTAACTCTTTTAGGTTTTGTTAGCTTACCCGTTAAATCATTCCACCTACAATTTAACACGTCACGTCGAACAGAAATTTATCCCCTGAAACTTTCCCTGTACTTTTGTCCTTCTTTATGGAGATTTCCTCCCTTCAACCCGTTCTCGACGATTGTGAGAGAATGTGGTGGTTTAATGTATTTTTTATTTAAAAATATATTTAAATAATTTTTTTTATTTTTTAAAATTATTTTTAATATAATATATTAAAATAATTTTAAAATATAAAAAAATTTATAAAAAGAAAAAATCTTAATGTTACATTAACAACTCGCTAGAGGGACCATTACACGGGCATGGATGTTAATTCACAAACATTAACAATGTTTTTCAATTATTTTATACATTATATGCGCAAAACAAATCTGATGAATATTCAATTTTTTAATAAAATTTTAATATTATCTCATCATATTTATTATTTTTTTCCTGAAATATTATTTTGATATATTTTTTTTAAAGCTTGCTTTTAAGATCATGTTTTTGTTTGAAAACAACACATGCAATTATAAAAATATGTTTTTGTTGAAACATTCAAGAGATGTATTAATAAAAAAAATATTGTTTAAATTGAAAAATATATTAAACTAGCAAATAACAAAAATGCTTACATTTTTAATTGTAAATGTATTATATAATTTCTAATTTTTTTTATCATTTTCATATAGTTGTAGAGAAATAATCGATTTATAATCCTTTTATTTTTTTTAATTAAAACTTCATTTAGTGATTATAATGACTTTTTACTTAAAAAACAATACTCCTTATAATTTTTTTGTTTATCCATTGTAAAAGAAGTGTGAATAACATAATTTAGTTATTTAATTATAAACACATGAATTTTTCTTTTTTATTCCTAGTTTTTATAGTTTTTCTAAATTTTTTCCTAGTTGTTATTGCTTTTTATTTTTCCTTGAACCATGTAGCTAATAATAATAAAAATTGTTGTTAAAACAAAAGGAAAATACATTAATCATAAAAGACAATTTAAATGAAAAAAAATATATTTCTTATTAATAATTTATATTTTTTATAAATATCTACTTTTAAAATCATTTAATTAAATAAAAATTAGATTTGAGATAACAAAGTTACTGAACCTCGTTAGGAGCATGATTCAATTTATAAATTAAGTGGATTAACTCGGTTTAAATAGGATCAATTTAAAATATCATAATTTTGATATTTAAAACAAAACAAAATTAATTTCAATGTTGTTTTTTAAATTAATTTATTAAAAAATCAAACTAAATTTTAGTTAGGTTGACGGAATGATGAGTGTATATATCAAGTTAATTAAAACACATTTAATTAATTCTCTCCTTGTTTACTTTTGAGACATGAATTATTATAAAGATCGGATTGACTGACTAGTTACAATGTATTTTTACCACCAAACTTAACTAAATGTAGTAATTTTGGTGAAAAATTATCACCGGATAAGCATGAGCAACTGACTCATGTGATCGTTGAGATGACACCATATATGTACCTATATTAAAAAAAAAAAAATTAAAAAAAAAATTCAACTACTTCTGTTAATATGCAATTTTTATCAATCATATATTGACTAACAAGAGCCAAATCACGTCGATTATCACACATGATGTTTTTCCAAGTGTCACGTTTTGTATAATTTTTCCTTACCTTAACTATGGTTTCCCATGGTAATACGATCATTAGCTTTCTTTTTTATTTTATTTTATTACATGCTTTGACCCCTTAGATCTCTCATGCTGTCTAGACTACGTTCAAAACATGTGGAAGGGGTCCCACTCCAACCTGGCTGTAAACCGCATTATAAATAAAATATTTTAATAGTTATTCTTTAAAAGATATTTTTTATTAAAAAATATATTAAAATAATATGTTTTTTTACCAATTAAAATCATTAAAAAATTTAATTTCAAATATTTATTATTTTAATACACAACGAAACACGTTATTAGTTTGGCATGTAAAACTAGAGTCTTTTAACTAATTTAAAAAATATTTATTTGTCAAGAGAGATATGTTTTCCCTTTTAAATATTATAAAAAAATTATATTTGTTGATGTATAAGCTTATTAAAATTAATATACATTTTTTTAATAAAATCTGTATATTTTTGTATTTTAAAAGTATTTTTAAAAAAAATTAATTTTTTTATTTTTTATTTATTTTAAATTAATATATTTTTAGTATTTTTAAATTATTTTGATATGCTAATATTAAAATAATTTTTTAAAAAATAAAAAAATATTAACATTTATTTTGATATAAAAAATTATCTGTGGTTGCTTGGATTGCCGTATGATCTTGGTTTGCATTCTTGTCAAATTAAACACTTGATTGACGTATGTAAACTCAAATATACTTTAATGTGTGTTTTAATTAAAAAGATGTTGAATTTTGAGTGTTATGCGCAATGAATTCTAAACTTGACTTTTTTATCACTTGAGGTAACTAAAAATAGTTTTAGGAGACACATGTTGTATGCTAAGTGGACAATGTGTTGTCCATTATTTTCTTTTACATAAAAAAAATAATCAACACCCGAGTTCAATAATCTAAATCCTCGAATCTAGTATTCTAGGCTCCAAAGTTGGATTTGGCCAGTGTTGGGGCCTCCCTTTTAAGCCTAGACACACATGAACTTGATTCCCATCCACTTTTCTTTCCTTTTATTTATTAATTATTTTGATTTTTCATATTTTAAAACTAAATTATCTTTAAATAAAATAATTAAAAAGATGCTATAATAATTATTTGATCATGCCATACTTTTTGTAAAAAATAAAAAAACTATTAGAGCTTTTCTTGTAATATTAGTAATTACTTTATAAATTATTAATTATGAGCGCAAAATATTAAAAAAATAAATATGTATGGATACTTAATGAGAATAAAATATTTATTTTTTTAGTTTTTATATATTTTTTATTTTCTCTTAAAGTCACATAAGATTATCATGTTAAATTTTTGTGGGTAAAAATATATATTTGTATTCAATTTGTAGACTAAAATTTTTTTTTAATTAAAATATAAAAATGTTAATATTTTTTGCACAATAGTGCTTATGGGTATTTTAAAACCGTCATGTGTAGATCGTCATAACTAAATAAAAATTTATTTTAGATAAATTATATAAATAACTTAATAAATATATTTATAAATCAATATAATAAATTTAAGTTTAGGAGAAAGTTTGGCCGCATCTTGACTATTCAAAAAGATTTTCTTGAGATTGTTTTTTTTAAAGTAGCTATAAAATTGCTACTTAATCGTTATATTTTTAGATTAAATTTTTTTTTGAGGCTCTAATTTTAACAGTTTTGGGTATTTTTTTAAGAATCAATTAATCATTTTAATCAAATAATTATTAAATTATTTTTTAATTTAATATTAATTAAAATTTTATCATGAATCATAACGACAATATCTAAAAATATATCATTTCACCGACAATTTTTTCCTACCATATCATTTCATCATTTATTTGTATTTTACGTGCGAAATGCCAAATTAATCCCAAAACTAGGTGGCACTGCGCTAGAATATTCGTTCACTTTAGTGCTTGTGGATTTAGCATGGAAACACGATGGACGATATGCAATGATCCCAGCATAGCTACGTAACAACAGTATCTGATTAATTATCCATATTTAAGAAAACAAAAAATTAATACCTAGATAATAGGAGGTCCACGTACTCAACATTGAACAAATAATCACAGCCAATAAATATATTTTTTATTAAATAAATATTCAAACTAATTTATATTTATCACGATTAATTTTATAAATTTTAAAATTAATAATTACATAAATCTTTAATTATCTTGAAGTTTGTGTGAAACTTAAATTAATTGTTAGTAAATTGCACAATAATTAAAAACATTAATAAAAATAATATGATTCGTCAGGGCATGTGCTGCCTACACAACCATTGACTTTGTGAGGATGTACTAGGTTGTAACTTTTTAGATTTAAGAAGTTGTGCGTCTCAAGCTTTCTGGATACGGATTTGCCACATGAGCGTCTCCTGTGTTATTTTTAAAAATAAATTCATATTTTGTCAATTTTTTCCGTGGTACTATTTGTTATATATATATATATATATATAAACTCTTTAAATTTGTCTCTTCTTAGATATTTTCCTTCTATATTTTATAAAACTTATCCATCAATCCATAACGTATGCTATTTTGTGATTTTAGTAATTTCTTAACTAATAATTTCGTTTAATACAAAAACTCATATGATATTATTTCCTGCAATAAAATATTTTAATGATTTTCTTACCTGCCTCCTACTCCGTCCTTGATACCAATAGCCTGTCTTATTACAGATCATATATTTAAGAATGTTGTTGTTGATGTTGTATTAATTATATGAATACGCAGGTAGTTGTTTTAGGCTGACCAAGACAATATATTTGAATAATAATAATATAAAAAGAAGCGATGTATTAACACGTGTCATTCATTCAAACCAAGAAAAATGAGCACATGCAACTCATTGCCAGCATCTCCCGCACTTAAATGTAACTACGAGGAAGCTCCCTTCTACTCCCAGAGCAATCACTCCCATGACATGTCACGTCTATTTATAGATTAGCGCGCACACTCTCAGTTGCTAAAACCCACAATTCTACGATCATCGCTACTCCACTAGTACAGTACTGCCATAATACCATTCATCAGTAGACACAGCCTTAATTTCTTCTTCTTTATTGCTACAATGGAAGGAAGAATCGTGGACGGCCATCTTGGGATTAGTCCGCCGCGATATAGAGGTGTACGACAACGGAAATGGGGGAAATGGGTGTCCGAAATCCGGGAGCCTGGCAAGAAGACAAGAATTTGGCTTGGGAGTTATGAGATGCCTGAAATGGCAGCGGCCGCATACGACGTTGCAGCATTGCACCTTAGAGGACGTGGGGCGCAACTAAATTTTCCTGACATGGTGGATATTTTGCCCCAGCCAGCGAGCTCTAGCGCAGAGGATGTGCAAATGGCGGCACAAGAGGCTGCTTTGCTGTTTCGGAGACCAATGAAATGCTCGGAGGCTGTAAGCGGCGATTCCAGTGTTGGTGGTGGTTTAGGTCCTGTTAGGGTTGGGTTGTCACCAAGCCAAATTCAAGCTATAAACGAGGCACCATTGGACTCACCAAAAACGTGGATGGAGTTAACTGGGGTTCTTCTGCTGGAAGAGCCTATGATCATGAGTGATGATATTGATGTTGAGTATAGAGATGAGTGGGGAGAAATGCAACATGACTCCATTTGGGATTATTAATCGTATACAATTATTTATTAATTTCGTGTTATTTCGTGCTGCTGCTGCTCTGCTCTTATTATTATTATTATTATTATTATTATTAATTATGATAAATTGACTAAACTAATGTGATGATGGGATTGATCAATTTAAAAACTAGCTAATTTCTCCGATATTAAATTAGAGTCAACAAGATTTAATTAAGCTTTCTCCATCCATTGATCTTTTTTATTTATTTATTTTTTTTAATTTTCGGGAGAGAGAGTTTTGCTCACTTGGAGAAGTGGGGAGGATTGGCTCTTTTGACAACTTCGGGCTCTATAAATGATGCATAGAAAGGCATAAACTTTTGAAGACGTCTTTTAGCGTGTTAAACACTTGAAGAGAGCCTGGAAAGTGTATTATTTCCTTTTAATTTGCACAAATTGCCTTCTTGTTTCGATGCAAAGGACAAGACTTCTGCCTTCAATGAATCTAGCTTCTTTCGTTCATGCTTCATGATATCCAATCTTCATCTTCTCTTAATTATTTTTAACCATTAATTAAATGCAATAACTGAAAAAAGATATATAAGAAGAAGAAAAAAAAAAGGGAAGGAACAGAATAATAACTCGGTGAAACATTTGGTCTCAATAAATCTGTGAACACATTATCCGAATGGAGATAAACATTGAACTGAAATTTTAGATTTTAAAATTATTTCCTTGTTCTTTTGTGTTGATTGTCTTATTAAAAATAACTTTTGAAGTTATTTATTGTAATTAAAAGGTTGAGAAGAGTTTTTGGTTATATATATATATATATGCACTTAGCAGAAGGGCTGCATTTAAGGAAGCCTCAAGACTACAGAGACCAAGGACAACCATGTGCTCCAAAATCCGGGCTCATGTGGTTCTCCCGTGAAAATTTAAAATTAAAATTATAAAAAGTGTGAGAATGGTACCAGAATAGTACCACTAACCACATTTTTAAACCCAATCTAATTGTGCTGATTTACCTCGGAATTATCCCTAACTAGGTTTAAAAAAAATTATTTTAATTTTAAGGGGTATAGTTGAATTGATCAAATTCTAAATTTATTTTTCAGAGATCAACAGTTTGAATTCTAGAAACCTCAGAATTACTAAAAGCTTATATGATCGTTAACTTTAAAACCTATGAAATTAGTTGAGCTGTACATAAGTTAGCATTGACACCTATATTAATAAAAAAAGAGTTAATTTATAGTTAATTAATTAATCAATCAGGTTCAATCTTGACTTGATTTACCAATTAGGTTAACTCATAACTCGATTAATTCAGTTAAAACTTAATCTTTCTTTAAAAAATTACTTCAAAATTGACGAGTCAATCTTTTTTACTTGATATTTTTATGCTTTAAAAGTGTCCTGCAGACCCAATTTATTCAGGCTCAACTATAAGTCAAGCTCAAGGCATTACGAGTCTAGCAAGCTATCAACTTCGATATACTTAGGTTTCGTTATAAGCTGAACCCGTGAACTGTGAATCTAATGATATGTTAGACTCATTTCCTCTAAGTTTCGCTATGCGCTAGACTTAGGTGGTCTAAAAGATTCATCTTATGATCATAGGGTTCTATCTTAAAATTATTGACATGACCTATTCATGTCACAAATAATTATATCTTTATGTTTATAATTATATAAAAAAAATCTCATAAAAATTTATCATATTTTCATCTTATTAATGTTTATTAAGTATATAAAATGGATATTTATTTTCTATTAATGATATGTAAGAGATCATTTTCTCTTATTACTATAATCAAACAAAAATGATTCTCTAGTCTCTCTACTCTACAAAATGAGAAGTTCAGATAATATAAATATATATTGAACCATCTAGTAAAATATATATTTTTTCTATTTTCTAAATTTATATATCTTAAATTTTAGAACATTAACCACATAATAATAAGAACAAACACTTTTATTTTTAGAATTTAACCAATAATAAGAACAAACATTTTTATTTTTAGAATTTAATTTTTTATATATATTATTATTATTTAAAATTATTAAATTTTTTTTATATATTATTATTATTTAAAATTATTAACTTTATCATTAGATGATGCCAAAATTTCATTGATAAGGACTATTTAATTTATAGGAATCTGGACTCCTTCTATCAATTTTGTACTTATTGGGATAATGAAAATAAAATACTGACATTAACATATAATTAATCACCATTCAAATACTAAATAATTTTATTTATGAATATATTAAATTTTAAAAAATTATAAAAAATAATGTTATTATAACTTAAAAATACATCTTTTTCGTTATTGATTAGTTAATTCAAGTTAACAAATTTTCTTTAAATCGAGTTAGGGACGTGTTTAATAACCTTAAAACTATAGTCTTGCATGCATTTTTCCACGGAAGCTTTTCAACCAAATTTTACTTGATGATAGCAGTTAAAGTATTGCCCAGAAACCCAGGATTTGAAATAACTGATAAGGTAATTTGATTGCTGCCCGGTAATTTCAATTTAATCTCTCTATTTTTAATAATCTCAATTTGCTAATTGTGTTATCCGATTTTTATTAATATTATTTAATAAGTAATGAAGGTCTAATCCTTCATCAATATCTGAAGTAAAATAAAATAAATTAAAGAACGCATAGAAATTAGACACTTTAATTACCGGATTCCATAATCACCTCACTGATTTTATTACCTGTAATTTCAGTTCTTTTTTATTCTTCATATGAAAATATTATTTACTATGAATTATGGACCATTATTACCTATTAATTAGATGAATTTAACAAATATCAGATATATAAAATATAATTATCAAATTGAAAAATTATATAAAAAGGAGGTGAAACCGAAATTTTTTAATAAATAAATTATTTGGCATGTTATTTTAATTCAAATCTGAAGGATTACTAAACAATTTCATTCACCATGTCTCCCTTTTTTCCAAGAAAAGTCAATTTCTTCTTATCTGGTTTTCATTGTCTAAAACTTTTTTTAATTATTCAGAAATTATTTGCCAAGGTGGATGGATATACCAAATATTTATTAAAAATTTCAATTTTTTTATTTTTAAAATTGATTTTTAATATTTTTGAATTATTTTAATATTAAAAATAAATATGTAAAATAAAAAAACTTATTTTAATATATTAAAAAAAAAACATTTCAAAAAACACACAGCACGACAATATCAATCATGCTATCAGTTAGATTTAGCAAAGCCGTCCAAATCTCTCATGGGCCAAGCAGGCATGACTTTTGAGAGTAATAGCAAGCCAGTCTCACCGCTACCGTTGACCAGACTACGAACCCTTGTTTTGTTCCTTTTTTGTCCTTTTTACCGTAGACCAAACTTCAGACTTAAAGAAGTAACAAGTAAGAATTAATTATTAATAAATAAGCATATGCACCTTTTTTTAAAAATATAATTGCAACATTAGATATTACTCTAAAAGGCAAGGCTTTTTCATGGTATAAGGTTTTATTGTTTATCTTTTCATATATTATTGTTGATAAATTGTATAAAATTTCATGTTTTTTTAATTTGATCCTCAATTTTTTCTGGTAATTTAGTCTTAATTAAAAATCAATTTATTTTAATTTCTGATAAAAAGATAAACTAAAAAAAGAACCAAAATAAAAAAAAAACCAAATATTAGTGGCATGCCATAAATCTCCCAAAAGATGCACTTTAATAATTGAACTTTAAAAATCACATAAATTATACTTTTAATACCTCAATATTTTTTTTCAATTTAATTTTAATACAAAAATTTATTTTTATTATTTTTTAATCCTTAGTTGAGAATGGAGAGAAAGGTCGCTAGATTTTAGCGTTAAAGGGAGAAAAATATAGTTGACACCGATTTAGACCATCAAATTAGATAATATTTATATCAAATGGTTTCATTTGATAAAAAGAGTTCATATTATGTATTTTTTTTTACCTTTAATGTTCATAAAAAAACATATCTGAGCTCTGATAAATTTTGATTTTTAAGATAGTTTTTTGAAGCCATAAATAAATTTATTACAGGTCTTACATTGCTTTATTGGTATTTTAGGTTAAAAGGGGGTTGAAAAATATGTTTTGTGGTAAAAAACACTTGAGTTTCAAATTTTTTGGCTATTATAGTCACTAGAATTTTGGAAAATTAGACGACATTTTATCTAAAAAGTTTTTCCAAAAAACATTGACCCAGACAAAAAAAATTAAGGGTCCAATTGTGCGAATTTACAAGGACAAGCTCGTCTATGGGCCTTGACAAAATGGTGGCCTTTGCTCTTTTTTTTTTGTCTAATTCTTTTTTAAATTAATGATTTTCTTATGGTTTTCTCTTCATTTTTTAAATTTATATTTAAATTCATACTCATTCTCTCTTTTATTTTGTTTGGAGAATCTCTTTTAAATGACAATTATTTTTTTAGTTATGTATTTAAATTTGAAGAGTTTTTCCTATTCATTTATAATTTTCTTATCTTTTGTATGGATGAACTTTATTTTTTAAAATAAAAAAATATTTTTTAAAAATATTTTTAATATATAAAATCTTAGATGATATTTTTTTATTTTATTTAATCAATTTAAAGTAATATGAGGAGAGCTATTAGCCATAAGTTTCTTCTATGGATTTGTGTGTTTGGTATTGCGATAGCTGTTATAGTTGTGATTTGAAAAAAATTATTTTATAAAAAGTACTTTTAGTTGAGGTTGGTTTGGAAAAATATATATTTGGTTAAAACTATAGTTGGTTGAAATTGAGGTTGGACAAAAAATAGTTTAATGTGTTTTGTTAAGAATGCTTTTGAAATTGAGGTTATAAAGTAATTTTAAAAAATATATATTAATATTGATGGTTTTTAATTGAAATATTGTAGATTTAACTATTACTATTATATCATGAAATAAATAATACTTTCTATAAAATATTTTTTATTGTTCTATTAAATTTCTTAATAATACAACAACATCAGGTAAAATATAATAAGAAACATGGAATTGCGATC